TGGGTATGTACAGTCATTTTAATACATCACCATTTGGGATGTACATTCATTTTAATTACATCACAGTCTGGGATGTACATTCATTTTAATACATCACAGTCTGGGATGTACATTCATTTTAATACATCACTATTTGGGATGTACATTCATTTTAATACATCACTGTTGATGTACAATCATTTTAATACATCACTGTTGATGTACAATCATTTTAAGAAATCACTGTTTGGGATGTACATTCATTTTAATACATTACTGTTTGGCTAGATGTTTTCTGAAAAATGTTATGCAAAAATCTTTTAGTTAGTTGTTTTCAGAGAAAGTAAAATAAGATAAACTTACCTATCAACATTACAGTTCCAACTGCAAGACCTCCTCCTATAGTTAAAAATATAAATAAACTGTATTATTAATAATAACCTAGCTAAGATTTTGTAATGTCTGTTGATAAAGAATGATCCTAACTGAATACAAAGATACAGTATTACTCTTGAGATGAATAAAAAATTGACAAACTGGTCTTCAGTAGCGAGAAACTTCCCTGATTACTCTGGGATGATGGAAATTAAAAACAAACAAACTAGTCCTGTGTTAATACATTATGAGATATATGAAAAATACTGTTCCAGTTCAAAATGAATTAGATGCTTTGAAAAATCAGAATTAGCATTCTCACATGAAAACTTCCATCATAAGCACAAACAAATATGTTAATTGGGATAAACTTAATTGTATTTTAAACTAAAGATGTTTTAAATAAGTAAACTTTAATACAAAAATTAGATTTCAAATATGTATATGGCATATTTTTATATTAATAAACTTTTTTATGTACAAAGTAGAAGCTATTATTTTTGAATTATCATTAACTTCAGATCAAAGCAAGCTATCTACATAGACCAGAATTAAAAATTAGCTCAATAATTAATTAAATCCCATTCCTAGTACATTTAATTGTATCCAATGACACAAAACAGATTTATAATGATGAGAGTGCACTGATTTACTAGTTGGATACTCTCATTACTGTCAACATTATTGGCTGTAAATCCAATACTACTGCATAAGGCTTAGCTAATGCTAACATTTGCAAGTAAGGAAAATGCTAACTTCAGAAAAACTACTCACCTCTCTGTGTGAGAAGAGGTAAGCACCTATCAGTACCCTAGTGCAATAACATCCTCAGTATAATAAAATCGAAGGATAGCGTAAGAGAAAGAACCGTATTAATCTGCAAGTACCTCCATCATGACCCATAATATGGATGGAGGAACAAAAGTATAACTGAGTGAGGAAACAGAGACACCTATAATACATGTGTGAGGACTTATGTTGATTGGTTTAGCTCTGAATCCAAAACTCAGCCACTGGGAACTGACATCCATGTGGGGGTAGGATAAGGGACTTCAATCGAAGGGGATGAATGGCAATTTTGCTGGCTCACTCCAAAGCTACAACACCCCCTCAGATAAATCTGTTCAGAGATGAACCATCAGACTGGGGGACGCTCACTCCACAGCTACCACATCCTCTCGGATAATTCCATACAGAGATGGAGATCAGATTGGAGGACATCTTGTCATCTAAACCAGCAGAATATCACTGCCCTACTCTCAAGTGAATGGTTTATCATTATCACATTCAGGAGGATGCCTCCATGGTCCATCACCCCAGCAACTTGGAACTGGAAAGTGGTAAGGACTTCCATACTCCACTGGAAGAAAAGGGAAGAGAAAATGCAATAGAGAGTCTAGAGGAATGACAACACCAGAAACAGTGCAATGGGTGACTAAAAAAAACCCTATTCTGAAAAATAGACCATACCTAATTTATTCAATATAAGGAATGGCAGAGATGGGCAGCTATCCCCTTCTGCTTTACCCATGAAGTTCATGGGTGAGTAAGGTCCGGAATGGGCATACTAATGAAGCAAATATATCTTGAGGAAAACCTACAAGCAATATGGTGGAACACCCCATCTCAACAGTGGCCATGGAAATGATAATTGTTAAGTCATCATGATCTTACAGTGTGGATTTGACTAGTTTAAGTATACCTGGACAGGCATCGCTCACCACAAAGCAGAATCCATAAAGAAAAAATAAAAGGGGTATGACCCCTGAAAAATAGGAGTATATATATATATATATATATATATATATATATATATAACAATAATATACTACTACACTACGTCTACA